TCAAACAGCTCTGATAGATGCTTTTTTTAAAAAAAAAATTTTTTTCACTGTTAGAAATGGTAAAAGTTGTTCTGAAAATATATGCAGAAATCACACTTTCAGAGGAGCTTCTGAGTACAATGCAAAGTGCTGTACGGTATGTATTACTTTATTTATTTATTAATTGCATTTATATCCCGCCCTTCTCCTTTCGGACTCAGGGCGGCTTATTTACTCAATTTCACATCAACCTTTTACATCAACCTTTTGCAATTCCTGTTTAATCCTGTCAGGAGCTAAATAAAACTAGTAGCTCCTGTTAGACATAAAAAATAATCGAATTATCCAATTCCATTCCAAAACCTTGACCATAATTACAGCTCTATAGAATTTTAATGCAGGAGTCCATTCAAAATTTGTTTTCTTTTTGCACTTCACACAAATGGTTCGTCCTTTCTTGTAATGACTTATACTAAATTCTCCACGAAAATAATATCCAGGATTTGAAAGATGAAGTTAAATATGGAACTCATATTAGCATAATTTATAACATGGTAGTTATTGGTGTAACATTTTCTTCTGATAAAACATCCCAAATTGCCTCTGACAGTCCCCCATGAACCCTCAGTATTTGAGTCTAAGACCATATAGGGAGCTATAGGGGAGAAGATATGGTATTTCGTTACTTTAGATTTTTCTTCCAAGCCCCATTTGCTTTAGAAGCTCCTCAATGCCAAAAGTCATTACATTTGCATTAAAATTGGAGAGGAGAGGGGAAGAGTGTGTGCTGTTCAAGAAATATTTATTTGAAACACGATCTACAACAATAACTTTATTGCTCTCTGTACTACATTTCTTAAAAGGAGGAAGGAGAATATATAAAACAAGGGAAAATATATTAAAAAGCCAAATAAAAAGCCCAATACACACTGATATCAAATGTGTTTTTTAAAAGTTCCAAATGTAACTACATTCATACTGATGGAAAATGGGGGTGGGGTGAAATTGTTATAATACATATGATAACAATTGCTACTGTTATTTTCAGAATACTTTATGTTGTTTTAGTATCAAGATAGTGTTAGCTTAGTGAAGCTTGAATGGATTTTTTCCCCTCCATTATGATGTATACTAATTAATATTTTTAAATATTAACTAGCTTCATATTTCCTGAAAAATCTATCAATCATTTCAAGCCTTGGCTAAGAAACAATAAAGTTGAACTTTAAACTAACAAGGAGCACAGTTGCCATAGACAGCGTTCATGTACCTGTACCTTGATTCAGCTAGCTGGAACTACAAAAAGGGCATGGTGAAGTATTTATGTATTTTATTGTGGAACTGCATTAAAAAAAAGGCAGTTTGTATTCCAGACATTACCAAGCAAAAACAAATAGACTATAGCCAGTCTGTCTGCTTCTGAAGCACTGATTGGGAAAGTGATTAGGATTATGTCAGATAGCTTGTAGGTGTTCCATTCACATGAATTTTTAAAGAGCAAGAACAGCCTGCCCAACCTTCTCTGTAAATATCAGCCCCATTGAAAAAACATTCACTGCTTCTACTGATATCAGATTATCAGGTACCCCACTAGCAGGAAAATGGTGTGTTGTTTGTGTGTGTGTTGTGTGTTGTGTGTTGTGTGTGTGTTATAGATCACAACTATATTAAGGCAGGTAGTAAATCACTCGCTTCCATGTTAGAGTTCAGATCCAGTTGAATCCCTCCCTTCTGAATAAGAAAATAATGCACAGTTGACTTACTAGCAATGGCAATGAAGTAATGTTTAGTTTGACACACACACTCCTCAACAGTATATAAGAGCCAACATTGCACAATGATTTTTACTGTCAAGATTATGAATTATTGAAGGAGGTTTGGTCATAAAAAAAAATCAATCCTATCTAAGGTGCTCTGCAGGCCTTTTTGCACAGTATTTAATAGACTAATTTCAGCTTTTTCAGAAGTACAAGTGATTATTCTACCCAATAGCCCATTTTCCAATTGTGATTACCAATCAAGTTCAGTAAAAATGTGCAGAAATACAAAGAAGAAACATTAGAAAATACACAATGATTCCAATTTAATCAATATGAAAAATGTGGTTAAGATTTTTTGTGTTCCCCAGGAATTTCAAATTTTTTTGTGTTCCTCAGGTATTCAAAATTGATTTTATACAGGCATCCCTATTAGATCAGAGGCTAAAGTAGAAATAGGAAGGCAGAGATTTATCTGTCAAAGTTCTCCCTCAACCATTAAAATGTTGTCTATTCTAATATTGCTATATCCAACATCTGAAAATATATGTTTATTTAAAACTGAAGGTCACTAATTATTTCTTATAAATCTATTGCTTTTCCTCTGGTTTTTGTTTCAGATATTTTTGTTTATTATTTTTCACTACTGTATGTATGTATTTACTTCCATTCAATCATCTATCTGATTCTTAAAGACTACCTGGACAAATCCCTGCACTTTTCTTGGTGAGGTTTTCAAAAGTGGTTTGCCATTGCCACTTTTGAAAGTGACTGGCCCAAGTTTGTGCCTAAGGTGAGACTAGAACTCTCCCAGTTTGTAACCTAATGCCTTAACCATTACATTTTATTTTTATTTTATGTATTTTATACATGCATACCCCATTATAAATAATGCAATGTATACATTTTAAAACTATTTGATAGATAGATAGATAGATAGATAGATAGATAGATAGATAGATAGATAGATAGATAGATAATCAGAAATAATACAGACAGTAAGATGCAAGACTGCTGTGATATTTATGACTATGCAAGAATTTCAACATGATTTTCTAACATTTAGCAAAACATTCTAGACCAGTGATGGCGAACTTTTTAGAGACCGAGTGCCCCCAAACCGTCCCCGCCCTGTCCTGCCTCCCCACTCCGCCCCCATCCTGCCCGCTCCACCCCCACCCGGCCCACCCGCAGGGCCATTCACTGCCTCCACGGCCCGCCACAGATTGCCCAGACAGCCCAGCAGCGCCATGGCAGCAACGCCCTCTGCCCGCACCCCACAGCATCAACTCTGCACGATGGGGCGCGAGGGCGAAGTCTTGTCCCCGCTGCCCAACTACCATGTCCTTGGCTGCGCTGGTCCATGCTCGGGGGCAACTCTCTTCCAGGGGGCTGCTAGTGAGGAGGGGGCTGCGGTGGGAGGCGGGGCTGGGGCGACGGCGCACATGCCCACAGAGAAGTCTCTGAGTGCCATAGCTTCACCAACACTGTTCTAGACCGTTCACAGAGTTTAATTCTATGACCATTAATGCTCAACATGAGAATCATACTTTGTTCCAAGTATATTTGTTGTCGCTAATTGTATGGAAGATTTTACTTCCACAACTGATTTATATACTGTCATGTAATTTAATCTTCTAAGGTGCTAAACCCAGTATATTTAGTATCTTAATACCAGTACTGCCTCACTTGGGAGTTGTTCTTGTTTCTGCACTTCCCATCACTCATATTTATATCATAGATATTTTTTGACAGGAAACAATGAATCATCAGTAAAGAATGCTTGCTTGATAGTTAAATTTGGCTGGCAATCCAGTCAGTGTTTTCATTGCATTCCTCAGATTAAGCGTTTCCATACATACAGTCTGGTTACTCTGATAGCATATAAAACAATTTTGGATCATTTTGAAGTAACTGAAATTTATTAATTGATACTGTTCTTTATTAAAATGTCATGTTTGTTTTAGTTTCTGTGGAATATTCCAATTTTTAAAAATGACAAAAAGCCATTGTTAATAATAGAATTTGGTATTGCCCTTTCTTTTCTATCCTGGGAATAGAAAACACATTTTTAAAAATTCCTAATTACAGAAGAATACTAAGTACTTAAGTTGCACATATAAAGTCATATTCCATTTATTCAACATGCAAGTCAAATTATCCTGTTCACATCAATGCTACAGGTAGTCCTCAGTTAATTATTTATTTCACAAGTAGGATACTGCTGCAAGAGGAAACTTATGGCCAGTCCTCGAAGCTGAGGCTGTCACAGCATCTCCATAGTCACATGATCACGATCAAGCACTTGGCAACTGGCTCACAATTATGACAGTCACAGCATCCTGCAAGTCACATTATCGCCATCTGTGACCTTCGTTGCCTGCTCCCAACAAGCAAAGTCAATGGGGAAGGTGGCAGGAGGTCCCATATGGTGATCTTGTGACATTGAGCTAAAAATCTGTGCAGGATTCACTTAACAACTGCAACTGAAACTTCCATCGTAAGCTGATGTGGTCATGTAACATTCTGCTTCACAACTGCTTTGTTTAGCAACAGAGTTGCCAGTCCTAGTTATTGTCATTAACTGAGGACTATTTGTATTAATATATCTGGTTCACAGGATTTTAAACTAATCCAAGGGTCTTCAAACTTGGCCCTTTTATGACTTGTGGACTTCAACTCCCAGAATTCTTCAGTCAGGCACACATAAAAGGGCCAAGTTTGAAGACCTCTGAGTTAATCCAATACAAATGGATTCAATTTTTCAACAAGGTGTTTCCCTTCCACTTAGGTAGTGATCATTCACTTACAGGTTCTTATAAAGCTGACAATGGAAACTAAAAACTGCTTCGTATTAATTAAGCGCTCCCAGCACTCTTTGCATTCTTGACTTTGAATGCAATAAAATTAAATATGACAATAGTCTTCCTCAAATACATGAGGCAAGTACATATATTTTAATATTTTAAAATTAGCATGTGAATTTATTAAGATTTTGTGGTTATATTTACAGTAGAGATTAAAGTAACTGAAAATTTACAAGCATATATCATGCCCAACTTTCCAATACTAAAAGAAGATCTACATTAGCCTCATGATATAGTATGTATGAACAGCAAAGTACTTTTGTCCATAAGAGGACGTTTGTCCAGAATTGTTATTAAACCGAAAGAAGCATCCCAAAATATCTTCTATAAAAGCAGAGTGTCATCTGATTTATTCAAGCAGGATCAGATTCAAAATGAAATACCAAATTCACCTTACCTTTGCATTTGTACAAGATTTTCCACGTTTGTAGTCCTTATGGCTTGCCTTCTTATCTAGCTTATTCCACAAAGCTTTGGCCTTCCAGCTGGTCACTTTTGATTTAAGTTTGGCATAAAAGTTCCTGTTGTCCAAAGGGTCTAATTCAAGATGGCGAGTGAGAATATTAAAAGCCTGAATCGAACCTTTGCATGTTGAGGCTTGAACAAAACTTTCAAATATTTGGTTAGCTTGGTTGTACTTATCATTGCCTTTTTCACCCATGTTTCAAGAAGACTGAATAGCAGGTACAAATGGCATACTTTTAAGCAGGCGTTCATCTGAGAGATACTGTCAGCTTGTCCCGAGATGTAACATCTACAAAGAGACAGAAAAAAAAAATCATTAGTGTAAATCAGGACAAAATTCTAAATCTTTACAACACACAACATAGAATACTTTGTAGAACTCGAAGGGAAGATATCAGGAAAGAAAAGTAGCATTTTAAATAAAACTGCTACAACTGCAGAAGTTATATGTTATGTTTTTTCTGATACATTTATGCTTCTGATTTGTTACGTGATTCTAACACATTTATTTATCAGATTGATACAGTTTATATAAATTTGTATAAATACTTATTATATTTATATACCGTACATCTCACACGAAGTGACTCTGGGTAGCATACAATAAAACCTACTATTAAAAACCCACTGCAAATGCCATTAAAAACAATTAAAGAAGACCAGAAGTAGGAGAATATTACACATAATACAGCCACATGTAGGCTTCTTATAACCAGAGGATTTCCAGGCTTGCTGAAAAATAAAAACATTTTAAGGTCTTTCTGGAAGAGGATAACCTCACCTTGGAAGTGACAATGTTTAGACCAGGGGTAGTCAACCTTGGCTCTTTTATGACTCGTGGACTTCAACTCCCAGAATTCCTGAGCCAGCATGGCTGGCTCAGGAATTCTGGGAGTTGAAGTCCACGAGTCATAAAAGAGCCAAGGTTGACTACCCCTGGTTTAGAGAATGGATGGCGCTTTCATGTATGCGTCAGTAACCTTCTGCAAAGTTTCAAGCTTTGGGGTTTATTTTTTGCTACTGTGTTCTTTGATGTGGTTTTTAATTTTTTTAAGAAATAAAATAACGTGTTATACCTTACAGGTTTGTAAATATAGTGATCTTTAAATCATTAACTTGTATTCTCAGCAGTTCATCAAATATGCAAATGCAATCTATGGGCTTTATTACATTTTTAATTTATTAGCCGTTTCTTGGAATGCAAACTAGTCACTGACTGCTTATGTTTGATACTGTAAAATAAAAAGGAAGAATAGTGAGGGAATGGGCTGGCTAACTTTTTCCTTTCTACCGTTTGCTCATGAACATCAGTTCTAAACTTCTTTCCTATACACAAAATGCTACACTAACTTCCAGACCTCCCAAAATACATATTCCTAGAAAATATAAAGATATCAAACTTTGCAGACTTTCTTAATAGCAATTGCAAATCTCTTTCCCACAATTTATCTCTTCCACTGGTTCTATGAAATGAATTCAGGTCAGTTACAATTCAGCAACTTTGGGAATATTATTTAAATAAAGGCAAGGCACACTTGATTCTCATTAGAAACTTTTTATAGTCTATGTATTTTCTTAAAGATATCAGCACAAAGGCCGTTCTTATTACAACATTCAATGCACAAGTTTCATAATGCCTATATTGCAACAAAAACATCATAAAAGCTGCTATTCAGTATAGTGTTTTAGGCATGAAAAACTTTGGATAGGTAAAAAGAGTTTTAATATGCATGGAAGATAAAAGCTCTTTATAACAGAGAAACATAATAATGCATAATTCAATTGCAAAAGATAATACAAATGAAATTTCTTAGGATTTTGTTTGTATGTATGTATACAAGGGTGGAAGGAAAAGGAAGGAAGGAAGAAAGGAAGGAAGGAAGGAAGGAAGGAAGGAAGGAAGGAAGGAAGGAAGGAAGGAAGGTCCTTTATAGGTGCTGGACTGCTTGAAAGACTGGATCAAGAGGGTTTTTTTTAAATAATTTTGAGTTTGTATTATTAGAAAAACAAACAAAAATTGATGAAACTGTTTCCTTTTTCTTCAAGTTATCCTTTCTTAAAAGAGATTGGCTGCTACGTTTCTTCTAGAATTACTGTTTATAATAGAATAAACCAAGAATTGCAAGTAGGCATCATCAGTACTTTAAACATTTCTCTTTTTGTCAGTTGTATCTTCCTTCTGTATATTTCTATTGCAAATTAATGTTTATATTCACCTAGAATAGTATACTGCTAGTATTCTGCTAAGCAGTCTTTCTGAGTATCAAATATTTTATTACAATGTGGCTTCATGTAGAGTAATCCATTCTTTGATATAATTATTTTCAATGATTCATTTTTAAGATATTCAGTACTTCAAAAATCAGTCTCTATGGATGCTCCAGTTTTTAACATTTCAAATGCTAAGTACTGTGACTTTATTTCCTGCTTTTGCTTTAAATCTTATCCAAAAAGCACAGTAAAGCCATCTAAATTTAGTTTTTAAAGTAGAATAATCTTTACTTTTAAAAAAAATTAAGAATGACCCCTCAAGTTTATAAGATACAAATATGTAACTGTTTTACAAATTATCTAATTTTGTCCAGCATCATAATTCACATGGGAAATAGTTTAAAGAAGTGTAGCAGTTTCATATAATTGATTTTAAGCTTCACTCTAAAACAGCTGTACACTGTCTCTATGCTGGAATGTTAAAGGGCAAAATAGAAGCTGGTTAAAAATAATTTCTTTAAAAAGGCATACTAATAATAGCTCCTATGCTTGAGAGGATAAAATAATTTAAACAGCCATCCAGTAATATATATTTCTTCCACATCAAGTATATTTCAGGAGTTATATAGCAGGAGTTATATAATTACTTATATAAAAGTGGATATTTTGATACACTTAAGAAGCAGTAACTTTTAAGAAATTTAACTAACAAAGATCCAATCAGGAGAACAATGTCTGAATTACAAGCAGAATAAAACCAGTAGTATAGGTGAGCGTAGGGTTTCCATCAATTTCAAGTAGTGCTCACATATGAAGTGTATTTGGCTCCAATTGCAACATTACTAAAAAAAATGTTGACTGGTTAAAATGATTCATTTTATTTGCTAAAGTGCAGGTAATGTCTGTCAATTAATATTAGAATTACTATTTTTATTGTATGTTTAAATTTTTACTAAGACATCAATCTCTAAACCACATTTTTAAAAAGTACACTACAAGTACTTCTTTATGCACAGTACTCAACAGTCACTCCACCTAATCAACTAAACTGAAGATTTATACATACTCCCCGAAGCCCACTGAAGGACTTGCTTCTAAGCAGATACAGAGGCTGTATCTAATTTTAAAAACTTGGTCCTGTATTCTATTAAACAGAATGCTTTGCTTAATGAACTTAAGTCCAAATACAAAACCAGAACCATCAGATTCTTTTAAAGTAGTATAAACTGAAGTCCATGTGAGTGCACCTAGCTATATGAATCTCTCTAGCCTTTCAGATGGAAATAACTACAACTCCCATTATCCTAAGCATTGTGGATAAGAATTTCTGTCCAACTCTTTTAGAGGCCACGGGGAAGAATGAGCTTGATGTGCGGCAGTCTTCACAGAAAATGTAATGGATGTGTGGAGAAGAAAATGAAATTCTTGAAAGGTGCTAAAGGTTTCAGAAATTGCCATCTTTGGCTATTTTTTTCACCATCTCATTTTCAGAAATGGAATGGCTTATAGGTACATCACGTTACACACTTTTCCAACATTCTGATCATAAGGTAGTTAATCATGTACACTTAACAAGTACATTTCTATAAACTGATGGAAAAACGGTAGATAAATTTAACAAATCTGAAATCTTACCAGCACTTTTATTGAATTAAGTTCAGCTTTTTTCAAAACCTTTCAACTAGCAATTATGTTTGAGGTTGCACTCTCTATCATCTTTGGAAGCTGGAGAGGGAAACTGTCAAATTATTCATATTCATTGTTTATAATCAATACTGAAAGATTAAAGAATAACTTGAACCTTATCAAAGTCTTGCCAGCCACAATCTTGCTAAAGAATTTAAGAAACAGGTTTGGTACAATCTTACAGAAGACAGGCCCTCTTTTTTCTTCCATCTCTAGGTGAAACTCATGTTTGTAGTTCATATTTCCCAGTTCTTGTCTACATATTCAGAGAAGATAAAATAATGTACATATGTGTGTTTTATATTTATATTTATATATTTACATACACATAAAGACCAACATACACTTTTTGGCCCCCTCTTATTTTAGAACTAAAAAGTTGGGAGATAATGGTGTGCAAAACATTCTGACCTTGAATTATACTACTTCAAGTTCAAAAATATTTTGTTCTTCTGAATGCATTTTAGACTCAGAATATTTCTGTTCAAAGTAACCTACTTCAAATATAAAACAACAATTTCTCTCTCCAAACAACTTCATTCATTGGTATGATGTAGTCAACTCTGATTACACTAAACAGTGCAAATGCAAATATTAATCATTGATTATTTTCACATCAACAGTTTTATTAAACTCTTAATCTGCTTCAACTCCCAGATGATTTCATAAAAGGCAAGTAAAAATAGCAAGCTTATTAGAGATTAAAAAACAGGTATGCTGACAATAATGATGTAGCCTATAACAGTGATGGCGAACCTTTTAGAGACCAAGTGCCCAAACTGCAACCCAAACCCCACTTATGCATCGTTGGGTGCCGGGTGGGTGTGGCCCATTGGGTGGGCGTGGCTGCGGTGGTAACAGCAGACTGGGTGGGACTAAAAAATTCAATCAATCAATTCCAACTTTGCAAGATCTTTTTTTTTCCACGAGAAGTTGAAATTGACTGATTGATTGAACCTTTTTTTTTTGTACACGGCGGCGGAGGCCTAAAGTAAAAAGGTTTTATAAAACCCAGCTGAAGGCCTAGGACTGGGGCGACAGCGCACGTGCCCACAGAGAGGGCTCTGAGTGCCGCCTCTGGCACCCGTGTCATAGGTTCGCCACCACTGGCCTATAATAAACTCAAAACACATTCATGCAAAATAAATAACTTCCTGATAACATCTCTGTGAACCTATACAGAGAAGTAGGTACTGCATTTATGAGCAATTATTTTTCTTTCTTTTATAAAAAGATTTATAAAATAGAAGAAAAAATCTTCATATTGTGCAGGATATAAAGAATGTCTGATCCTAATTTATAATCCCAATAATAGATATGAAGACATATTATACATTAGAATATATTAATAAAAACTAATTATCAAAAGATCAGTCTTCATGTGTCCTTGAC